AATCTATCACTGAATCTACTTAACCCATTTGTAAAATAAGGAAACGGCAACACCTACCCTGTAGGCTGGTTATAAGGAATAAATGAAATAATATCTGTGAGTCCATTAGCACAGAGTAGGCACTGAATAAAGGCAGTCCTATCTAGTGGGCCCTTCACCATCTTCCCCTAGTAGAGGAGTGCTGCCAGCCTTTGTGATTTAGACTGTTTGAGTTTCATGTGTGATGATAAACCATTATCTTTTGCACAAAACATCTTTGTGCTTTTTTAATGGACTGTACTAAATGTAGTAAACTGTCTTATGATTTTATGTTATGTTTGGAAAGGCGGAAGATATCTATAAAAGTATAAACTACATGAGAATAAATTTAAAATGTACTATATAACGAACAGGTGATAAATTTATGATTTTTAAATGGAACTGGAGTTTGGTATGGTCCAATTTTTAAATAATAAAAATTTTGCATAATGAATTCTAATAACACCAGAAAAGTCAACAGAGAGAAAAAATGATTATATGCTAAAATAAAGACTTGATGTAACTACAGTACCTAGCACAGAGGTAAGAGAGAAAAGCATGCTATTTACATAGGGAGAAATAAATTGTATTAGCTGTGCAAATGAACCCAAATTCAGTCTACTGTTATAAACATTTTCAACTAATGAGATTAGGAATTATGAAATACGTCTTGAAAAACAGATGCATTTAAATTTTAGCTTTCTGGAGAGTATCCTGCCCTGACCATAAGAAAGCATGGTCTTTAAGATATCCTTTGACCTGGTAATTTTTTAAAAAATAAATTTATTTCTTTATTTTTTATGTATCTGTTTTTGGCTGCATTGGGTCTTTGTTGCTGCGCGCAGGCTTTCTCTAGTTGCAGTGAGCGGGGCTACTCTTTGTTGTGGTGCACGGGCCTCTCACTGTGGTGGCTTCTCTTGTTGCGGAGCATGGCCTCTAGCCACGTGGGCTTCAGTAGTTGTGACACGCGGTCTCAGTATTTGTGGCTTGTGGGCTCTAGAGCGCAGGCTCAGTAGTTGTGGCTCCGCGGTATGTGGGATCTTCCCAGACCAGGGCTCGAACCCGTGTCCCCTGCATTGGCAGGTGGATTCTTAACCACCGCACCACCAGGGAAGTCCCTGATCTGGTAATTTTGGATAAAATACTCAAACGAAACGGCTCCATAGGGGAAAAATAGAATTTATACCAGTATTAATAGTTATATGCATATAATAAACACATTTGTATATTATTTATATATAATATATAATATTTATAAATAAGTACATATAGACATACACATATAAACACACATACACACACGTATACACACACACAAACAGAACCAATTACATGCCCCTTTTGAGACCTGGCAGAGCAAACATTAGCAAAATGGAATAAAGTTATTAGAAATGATAATAAGCCCACACGCTTAATATTTGGAAAGAGCTGCATGAAATAAAGTCAAAAAGAAAAACCCTGTGTGGTCTTTGTTTCAGAGATGCAGGGAAGCACAAGGCTGTCGGTTGCTGTCTCAGGGACTGGATATTCAGCAGCAGAATAGATAACCTGGAGGAAATACTGACTAAATAAGGCAGTTTCAGGTGATCAGTGCTATGAAGATTAAGCGCCGTGGGATCGAGAAGAATTTAGGGCAGAGGGGTGATGCTCTTTTGGGGGTGATGGTGCGAGGGGGAGAGTTCTGTGAAGGAGCCAGCCAGGTGAAGGTGGGGCTGGGCAAGGAGCGCTTCCAGGGGTGGGACAGCACTTTGAAGCCTGTCAGTGCCCTTCTGGAATGAGTTGGGCACGTGTGACCCAAGAGCAAGCCAGTATGGCCAGATCGTAGGCAATAAAGGTAGGTTTCCTGGATTACAACAGAACAGTTGACTTGGGAGTTACCCCAATAGCCAGGCTTTACTTTTTTACGGTTAAAAAATTTTTATTGTTTAGTCGTGAAATTATGGTGAAAGTACAGAAGTATATGAACCAAGCGTATGTTTTAAAGAAGAAAAATAAAGCAAATATCCGTAGACTCACCACTAGGTTATGAAGTAAAATACCTTTAATCCCCCTCCCTTGCTTCCAGTGGACTGTCCCCCTCCCTTGCTTCCAGTGGTAAACGTTGTGTGACTTTTGAGATAATGACTTACTTGCTGTTCTGTAATTTTGTGACCTATATGTGCAATCCAAACATAGGGTTTAGTGTAGCTTGCTTTGAACTTTATATGAAAGAGCCATACTCTGTGTATTCTTTCATGACTTCTTTCTCTCCAAATTGTGAGGTTAACCTGAGTTGATACATAAATTTATTGTTATTTTTACTTTATAATGTATGAATATAGTGTAATTGAGTCATCTGTTGGTTGTTGATTGGTATTTGCTTTTCCAGTGTTTGGCTATTGCTGTGGTCAGTTCTTCTATAGAAAGTACATGTCTGTAAGTACACGTGTGCAAAAGTTTATCTTGGGAATTTACCTAGAAGGTCAATTTGGAGTTGTAGGATATCATCAAACTTACTAGAAAATGCCAAACTACTTAAAAGGGAATTGTACCAGTTTTTACCCTCGCTGGCAGTATAGGAGAATTTTTGTTGCTCGACATACACCAGTTATTGAGGTTGCCAGACTTAATTAAATTTGTCCAATCTCATGAGTGTATTGAGGTATGTTGAGGTTTTCTTTTCACTTTTATAATCACTAATGAGTTTGGAGCACCTTTTCATGTGGTTTTGGGCCATTTGGATTTCCTTTACTTCCTTCTGTGAAGGGCCCCTTTAGGTGTTTTGCCCCATTTTTTATTGGCCTTTCTGCCTTACCTCAGTGATTCACAGCTGTTATTTGTACCTTTGGGGTGTGTACTTTTCTTCACTCTTTTTATGTCTTTGAAATTTTAATGCAGTCAAATTTTTTAATCTTTCTATATTAGTCTATTTATTGCTTTGTAACAAATCACCCCCACCTCTAGTGGCCTAAACAGTAGCCATTTATTTATTTCAGTTTGGACTCAGCTCACTGGGCAGTATGGTGTCATCTGGACTGCCTCCTGCATGGCGGGAAGCTCTGCTTCTGAGGGTGGGATGTCTGACCGATGGGGCAGTAGGTAGGGGGCCTGGGCGACATGTCTTTCATCACCCAGCAGGCTAGTGTGGGCTTGATCACGTGGACGCCAGAGGCTTCCAAGGGAGTGGAGCGTGGGTGTGCAAAGGTTCTAGAGCTAGAGGCTCCGAATTAGCACAGTGTCACTTCTACCACATTCTCTGGCTGCAAGACCAGCCCGGATTCAAGGGGTGGGAAAATAGACGCTACCTTTTAACCGAGGAGCTGCAGAGTCCCATTGAAAAGAGAAGCTCCTACAAAGGAGGGGTGGAGAATTCAGACCATGCTTGCAATCCATCACATTTTCCATTATGTTTTTGCTTTTCTTCTCTACTCCAAGGGTAAGAAATTACAATCCTGTATCATCTTCTAAAAGGTTTCTGGTTTAGCTTTGGAAGAATGAATTTTCAAAAACTGTGACAGTGGGGGATGTTGTTAATGTGGGAAGATATGTGTGTGTGTGTGTCCGGGCAGGGAGTCTAGGGGAAATCTCTGTACCTTGTGCCCAGCTTTGCTGTGAACCTAAAACTACTCCAAAATAGAGTCTGTTAAGAAAAAGTAAAACATGAAACCAGACCACGACAGCAGCTGAAAGAGCTGGTGAGCATGATTAGAAAGTTTAAGAAGTGAGAGGAAGCAGCTTGTCGAGGAGGGCATTGGGGAACCATTGTACTTAATGATTGGAGGTCAAGAGTTGGTTAAAAAAAACAAACATTTTCCAATGTAAAAATAATTTTTTGCTTTCATTCCTTGTCTGTTAGCTATAATACAACGACTAAAAAAGAGAAGATTGCTGCTCCTTCTATCTTACCAACTTATTCAAAACAGCCCTCAGCATTTATACTGTGTGCTTTGCTTTTGTTCATATTTTTTTGCGTGAATACTCTTATCAGAAATTATGGATTGTGTTTTGTTTTTTTCAACTTTTCAGTTTGCTTGACGTGAAGTTTTACTTTAACACAATCTGTCAGTATTCACTGTAGTGAGCCAGGATCCATACAGGGTGCAGGAGTCGGGAAGCAGCTTCTTTGAAAGTGCTTTAGACCAGAGGCAGAATTGTACCCTAGTGAGGGTATGGGTTTTGGACAGATGGCTCTGGAATAGATCAGACTTTTGCTGATGTAGTACCTGTGTGCCTTTGTGCCAGTTATTTAACATCTCGGAGCTTTGGCATTCCATGGTTAAATAGAGATAATCTTTATTTTATATATCTCTCAAGAGTATTGAGTAAAGTTAAAAATACACCTATTCTCTAGCATGGTGCATGGCCCATAAAATAGCTGTTAGCCTGTTGCAGAAGTAGGGTTTTCCACTATTTTCCATGACTCGACAATAAAAAGAAAAAAAAATGAGGACCTGTAGGTCTTTTGCAGAATGAATTCTTTCTGCCGCTTAAGCGTGGCCTTTGGTTTCCCTTCCTGCTGCTGTTTTCTATGAACACTCTTTGAATCCTCTGGCTTTCTCTGGCTAGAGTTGGACCATCAGTTAAGGGCATCTGGTTGGCTGACTCTGAGCTTTGAGACCCTTAATATTTGAAACCCTGGCAGCCAGCTGGATCTCATCCAGCCCTGGGAGATATCTACCAAGTGTGTGTGCTCCTAATCATAGACGGAACTTTTGCGTCCGGGAAGTTCTGACCTGAGTGAGTAGGGAATGGGAAAGTGCTTCCGGGAACAATATATATATTTCTCCCGCACCTGCTCCATCCCAGAGCATTAGCATAGGAGACAAGCCACCAGAGAGTGCCCGGGTGGGGTGATGGGCCCCTTGGCCGAGGAGTTGGGTTGTGTCTCCTCACAGCTCACGTGGAGGAGAGCTCTGCAGCTCTGCCATCTGAGGAAGAATCAATTCCTGCTCAGCCTTGACCTGAAACAAGGACCCAAGTAATCGCTCCATCTTTCTTTCCAGGTCTCTCGGCAGCGCAGCGGAAGTTTGCTCATTCACTCAGAGACTTCAGATTTGAGTTTATTGGCGATGCAGAGACTGATGATGAGCGCTGCATAGGTGCGTAAAGACCGGGTTTTGGTTGGCCTTCCTTTGCTTTGGCCATGAGATAATCATTCCTTTCTTCTTACAGACGCTTCGTTACGTGAATTTTCTAACTTTTTGAAGAATCTGGAAGAACAGAGAGAAATTATGGTGAGTGGTGGGGGTGTAAAATAACAAGTCCATCTTTAAGTGGGGTGGAAATCTGGGTTTAGAAGGTGATTCTGGTAGAAGTTTTGGTGCATTTGTCCGTGGATGAATAGTGCACAGTAATGGGAAGATCCCCAGATGAGGTTTGGGGAGCCTGGATTTCTAGTTCCCCAGGGGTGCCGACCGTGGTGACGACCCTGGATAAGGTGCTGGACCTCTAGACCAAGACCCTGTGTCTTCATCTGTAAAATACTGTGTTGAAGTATATCAGTGCTTTCTAGATTTTTGTTAGCCCTGGAGCAGTTGCATTTAAATCTAGTCTCATGCAGAATCTTAATATGTTAAGAAGACAAAAGCAGAAAATCGTATGGAGAGGACAGCAGGGCACAGTTGGAGCTTGCCTCAGTCTTCTGTGGATTTCTAGGCTGTGTGGAGAGGAAGAGAGCTCGAACCTGGAAGTCTTTAAAATCCCACTTTGCCTTGAGTTACATGATCACAGTAGTAGTGAATAATAGCTACCCTCTGTTGAGTGCTTTCCATGTGCCGGATGCTACGCTGAGTGCATTGAGTAGATCCTATTTTACATGAATTTTGAGGGTATTGAATAATATTTATCCGCCTTTCTTAAAACTTTGTATTTCTCTCCTGATATTCATTCAACAAAGATTTACAGCAGACTCGCCATTGGATTATGACACACTGTCTATTTTCACCAGTTTTTTCAGGTTTAAAAAAAAAATGACCATCTGTTTTTTCTATGTTCTCAAGAATGAGTACTACCTAGAATTATGTGCAAGTGTACCTGTATCAGGGGGTTCAGATGTGGTGGTAATAATATTGAATATGGCAGCTAAGACAATTAACCTTTACTCTGTGCCTGGTACTGGTCTAAGCTGTTTACCTACATGGAAGTCATTTAATTCTCACATCAGCCTTATGAAATAGACACTGTGATTGCCCCCTAATTGACCAATGAGGAAATGGAGGTGCAGCACCTTGCCCAGGATCGCATGGCAGCTGAGGGGTAGAGCCCGGTCAGGCCACAACCAGACACCCTGGACCACCTGCCAGCGTGGCTGGCTTCCTAGATGTTGCTGCAGTCTGGCTGGTGGCTGGTGGGGATTTCTAGCTGGTAGAACTGGAGTAGGAGAAGAAGTAGGAGGAAAGCACTGATTTTTGACTTAAGCACGACAGAGACCTATGGCCTCTAAAAGCGCTAGTGTAATTCGCACTGCACCCTAAATTCTGAGATGATTTGTGCCTATTGTAAATACCGAAGCGGGCACGTGAAGGTACTGTGCTCGCACTAGGTTTTTTCTGGCACAGACTGACATACATAACCCTTATTCATGTGTTCCTATAGTCACAGATTTTTCAAGCTCTTTAGAGCAGTCTAAATGTGAGAGTGGAGAACAGCAGTGCCGTGAAGTCACCCTTCTATTGCGTGAAGTGGGTGTGGACGTGTGGGTGGTAGAAGTGAGTGTTCTTAGTTTACGTTAATAGTATGAACTTTCCGTTCTCAATCCTCCTTGATATTTAGTTGTATTTTCCTGGGATCCTGAGCATTCAGCAAATATGTATTTGATCTCCTTTTACGTTTCAGTTACTGTTCAGAATCTGAGCACACAGCCGCAAACAAAGCAGAGTCCCTGCCCTCATGGAGGTTACATTTTGGAAAGGGGAGGTGATAAATGAACAAATATATAACACATTGTCAAGTAGCAGTAAGTGCTACAAAATGAAATTGAGGGAATTCCATGGTGGTCCAGTGGTTAGGACTCTGGGCTCTCACTGCTGAGGTCCCAAGTTCAATCCCTGATCCAGGAGCTAAGAGCCCACAAGCTCTTTGTGTGGCATGGCCAAAAAAAAGAAAAAAAAAAAAGAAATTGAGAAGAGCAAGGAGCCAGGGCACCATTACATCTAGAGTGGCGAAGGAAGGAAGGCCTTTCCAGTGGAGAACTATGGAGGCATCCTGGTATCTGGGGGAAGAGAGTTTCAGGCAGTGTGGTGCTGGAGTTTAGCTCTACAGAAACACAGAGTGATATTCTATAGTTGGCCCTCTGTATCCACGGATTCTGCATCTGCAGATCAAAAATATTTGAAAAAAATTCCAGAAAGTTCCAAAAAGCAAAACTTGAATTTACCACGTGCTGACAACTGTTTACCTAGCATTTACATTGTGTTCAGAACTATTTGCTTAGTATTTTCATTGTACAGGCATACCTTGTTTTGTGTTTCTTTAAAAAATTATTTATTTTTGACTGTCTTGGGTCTTCGTTGCTGCACGCGGGCTTTCTCTGGTTGTGGTGAGCAGGGGGCTACTCTTTGTCGTGGTGCGTGGGCTTCTCATTGCGGTGGCTTCTCCTGTTGGGGAGCACGGGCTCTAGGCGCATGGGCTTCAGTAGTTGTGGCTTGTGGACTCTAGAGCGCAGGCTCAGTAGTTATGGCGCATGCGCTTAGTTGCTCCGCGACATGTGGGATCTTCCCAGACCAGGGCTCGAACCCGTGTCCCCTGCATTGGCAGGCAGATTCTTAACGACTGCACCACCAGGGAAGCCTCCATACCTTGTTTTATTGCACTTCACTTTATTGTGCTTCTCAGATGCTGTTTTTTTCATATATTGAAGGTTTGTGGCAACCCTGTGTCAAGCCGTCTTCAGGCACCATTTTTCCAATAGCATTTGCTCACTTTTTGTCTCTGTCACATTTTGGTAGTTCTTGTTATAGTTCAAACTTTGTCATTATTATTATTATATTTGTTATGGTGGTCTGTGATCAGTGATCTTTAACGGTACTATGGCAAAGAAATCACAACTCACTGAAGGCTCAGCTGATGGTTTGCATTTTTTAACAATAAAGTATTTTTTTTAATTAAGGTATGTACGTTGTTTTTTAAAGACATAATGCTGTTATTGCATACTTAATGAATCACAGCACAGTGAAAACATAACGTATATACTGGGGAATCACAAAATACGTGTGACTCGCTTTACTGTGACATTCGCATTATTGCAGTGATCTGGAATTGAACCTGCAATATCTCTGAGGTCTGTCTGCCTGTATTACATATTGTAAATCATCTAGAGATGATTTAAAGTATATAGGAGGGTGTGCATAGGTTATACGCAAATACCATGCCATTTTGTATAAGGGACTTAAGCATCCTTGGATTTTGGTGTCCATGGGGATCCTGGAACAGTCCCCACTGGTTACTGAGGGACGACTGTATTTCCTTTTTTTGTTCCTTGAGATGAGTTGGCTGGAATGTGGTCTTAGCTCCAGGCTGTCTGATAAAGAAAGCATGGTTCTCAGAGCTCTTGTTAACTGACCTATTGATTTAATCTTCAGCTATGATAGGGGTTGATGGGGTCTCTGTCTTAGGCAGAATGAGGATGACAGGGCTGGGTTTCCAGTGCTGGGTAGAAGTAGGAATAGGATGTTGTCTGTATAAGGCCACGAACCTCAGAAAGGAATGGGACAGCATGTTACAACCCATTTGTGGGAATGGCAGTTCCTGCCAGATAGCAGGAAACTACCCAAAGGGAGAAAGCAGTGGAGGGCAGTTACTACCAACCACAGAATTAACAGGACACCTAATGCTTTTTAAAAAATTATTAGTTTACCTTTTTTTTTTTTTTTTTTTTTGCGTTACGCGGGCCTCTCACTGTTGTGGCTTCTCCCGTTGTGGAGCACAGGCTCCGGACGCGCAGGCTCAGCGACCATGGCTCACGGGCCCAGCCGCTCTGCGGCATGTGGGATCCTCCTGGCCCGGGGCCCAAACCCGTGTCTGCTGCATCGGCAGGCGGACTCCCAACCACTGCGCCACCAGGGAAGCCCTGGTTTAACTTTTTAGTTTGGAAAATTTTGAGCATGCGCAAACAGAAAGGAAAATATAATTAAGCTACTTGTGCTCAATATTCGCCTTTGATAACCATTGCCACACAACCAGTCTTGTTTCTCCTATACTCCTCACCACCCCACCACCATTGTTTTGACAGAAAGCCCAGTATTACATCGTTTCATCCATAAATACTTGAGTATATAACTCTCAAAGATAACTCTCTTTATGAACCAAAATATACTTGTCACACCTAAAAACAAATAATAATAATTCCTTGAGATTACAAAGAATTAGGCCATATTCATTTTTTCCCCTGATATTCATTTACATTTTGTTTCCTCCTCATGCCTGTGTCCCGTAACAGTTGGTTTGAATCTGGATCCAAATACGTTGCATTTGACTGATAAGTTTCTAAGTCCCATTTAATCTATAGGTTTTTCTTTCTCCCTTTTCCCCTTGACAGGAATTCCTGATACTCTTCCATTCATTTTAAAAGACCTTTAAAAGAGCACTCTTCCTGAGTTATCATTGAGTTATAATAATAAAATGAATAATAACGAAAGTGAAAAAAAAGGCATTTAACCCATATTGACGTTATTTGGGTGTTTCTGTCTAATCTTGGTAGTCAGTGATCACTTTTTTTTTTAAACCATGAAAATTGTGTGGCATCATTATGGCTACTTTTGGTTCATGAAATAGCTTTGAACACTTAGTAGACAACAAATCTTTGATGATTTCCTCGACACCAGCCTGAAACTTTTTTTGTGGCTGCATTGGGTCTTCGTTGCTGTGTGCGGGCTTTCTCTAGTTGCGGTGAGCGGGGGCTTCTCTTTGTTGCGGTGCTCGGGCTTCTCATTGCGGTGGCTTCTCTTTGTTGAGGAGAACAGGCTCTAGGCACGCGGGCTTCAGTAGTTGTGGCTCGTGGGCTCAGTAGTTGTGGCTCTCGGGCTTAGTTGCTCCGTGGCATGTGGAATCTTCCCGGACCAGGGCTCAAACCCGTGTCCCCTGCACTGGCAGGCAGATTCTTTTTTTTTTTTTTTTTGCTGTATGCAGGCCTCTCACTGTTGTGGCCTCTCCTGTTGCGGAGCACAGGCTCTGGACGCGCAGGCTCAGCGGCCATGGCTCACGGGCCCGGCTGCTCTGCGGCATGTGGGATCTTCCC